CCCTGGTGGACACTAGAGAGAATGCAGGTTTAACATATGAAGCTTTGGCTTTTCTCGGCAGAACCGGAGGTTGCCGCTTTAAGTGACCCAGTATCTTAAACAACTCCTGCACCATCATCCACATTCCTTCTCCTTCTGTGTTGTGAAACAAAGTAGCAAAAAGGAAAAACAAAAACACACTTAAAACACATCAGCCAACACTTTCGTATAATATACTTTCAATATAGTTATTGTTTGTAGTTTTTATGTAGTACATTGTGACTACAATGTACATTTCATTGTGCAACCCTGTCAAATAAAAACCTTGTAACTTTAATGACAAAATGAGCTCATTGCAGCATTTCACTCCTCCAGACCAAACCTTCACTATACATGCAGAACGAATCCTTTAGTTGTGATGCTGCACGAGGAGGAGGAGGACTCCTGGGTCCCAGCACATACAGAATAACAAACACACGGCCTGCTGCTGCTGGTAAAGACACCTTTGGAGACCCTGCGCCCTCCATGCTACATCGCCCTCCTCTGCATGCGATGTAGCATGGAGGAGGAACCAGGAGCAGCGGAGCTTAAAGCCCAAAGGACTCAAAGAACGACTCATGCAGCATCTCAAGGACCGATCCATCACAAACACGACCTACATGCAGCAGCAGCACACAGTCCTTTATGAGCATCCTGCTGTTAGCATATAGCTCAAAGTAGCACTAAAGCACGGCCTCATAGGGCCTTTACTGCAGTAAAGTAGGAATACCACACTGTGAAAATACTCCCTTACAAGTATAATCCTGCATTCAAAACATTGATTGGTCAGTAAAGTGTTTTACTATTATATCTGATGTTTCTGGATTAATATTACTGCTGCAATAATGTTGCATTTTAACTCCTTTATACCCTGTTTAATCTACAGCAATGCATCACATTCTATAAGATCATCATATTTACAAAAGTATATTAGATGATAATAAGTAAAGTATAAGTATCTTTAAATTTGTACATAAAGTTACTACAAATAACTTATTTAGTGTTGATTGTGTCGCCCCCCTGTGGACTAAAGTGGTAGTGTTTCTGAGCACCAGACCCTTTAGAAAACCTCTCATTCTACTGCAGCAGGGTCTGACAGTCTGACCCTCTCAGTCCTGGTTCTGGTTCTCCCGTGCCTCTCTTCCCTCCAGCAATACGTCCTGGGTCTCCAGCAGCGTGGTGTCGGTGTTGACTCCCAGAGAGGAGAAGCTCTGCTCCTGGAGGAGATCTGGGTCTGTCCACGGTGGACTGGTCTCTGCTGGAGGATCTGGGTCTGTCCACGGTGGACCGGTCTCTGCTGGAGGATCTGGGTCTGTCCGCGGTGGACCGGTCTCTGCTGGAGTCTGAGCTGAAGGAGGTTCTGGTGAACCTGCATGAGTTCATCTGGTTTCACCAGAATCCGACCCGGTGGCTCCGATGACGAGCATCAAGAATAACTCTATAGAAACAGACCATCTTCTCTCTGATGGTCTCTTTACTGATGGAGGTCTGATAGAGGATCAGGACTACACTGAGACTGGTTCATATAGAGGATCAGGACTACACTGAGTCTGGTTCAGATAGAGGATCAGGACTACACTGATGGCTGGTTCATATAGAGGATCAGGACTACACTGAGACTGGTTCATATAGAGGATCAGGACTACACTGAGACTGGTTCATATAGAGGATCAGGACTACACTGAGACTGGTTCATATAGAGGATCAGGACTACACTGAGACTGGTTCATATAGAGGATCAGGGCTACACTGAGACTGGTTCATATAGAGGATCAGGACTACACTGAGACTGGTTCATATAGAGGATCAGGACTACACTGAGGCTGGTTCATATAGAGGATCAGGACTACACTAAATAGAGACAGAACAGTCTTCAGTGGGAGTGAAGTGAACCTGAGCTGAAGGTGAAGTTTGATCTTCATCAAGAAGCTCCGACTGAAACAAGGAGCTCACAGACTCACTAACGACTTCCTCTGTTCACTCAACGCCGCTCATTGTGAAGTGAAATCACATGACGCTCACTACGGCTGCTGGTGGTCCCACTGGTCTGGACTCTGTGTGTGTGTGTGTGTGTCTGGAACAACCAATCAATCAGCGTGCTGCTGACACCTTCACATGGAGCTGAGTCAGCGTTTTAATCAAAGTCTAGTGTTTCGACTGAGATGTTCGATGTAAACACAGTTACATTTATTAGAAATATGCACGTTCATGAGAATGAATGAACTGCATCGAATGAATTTGATGAATCGTGTTCTGTTATCTTCCTCTGATGCGGTCGAGTCCATTGATCACAATATTCTGGTCTTCTGTTGAGAAGAGATTGAGGAATGTATGTGTGTTCTGTGTGTATGAAGCATAAAGTATCATGTTTGGTTAGATGTTCATCCTCCTACAGTACGTAGTCAGTGTTCAATGATGGACGATGATGAATTCTTCTCTATCAAAGGTTTGTCAATGTGTTGCACAGAACCTGAGATGAGTTATAAACCAGTGGTTCCCCTCAGGACACATGCTGTTATGAATAACTGGAGTAGATTGTTCTGATTCGCTCAGTGAGCATTCTGTCATTTTAAACTCTCCCCATGTTTCATGTTTTATTTATTTTACTTTATTATTTTTATTTTATTTTATTATATTATAATTATGTTTTTTGTCTTTGTTAAGGCTTCAATGTGTTTTTACTGGACAACATTCCCTTTGTTGTTGATTTGATCTTATGTGAGAGTTGATTCCCTGACTTGTTTAAAAATATAAAAAGAGAAATGACACGAAGATGATTAGTGATCTGGTGCTGCCCTCTGGTGGAGGGACTGTGTTATTACAGAATATCCATCCAATGACGTCACCATGCTACATGAGAAGTACTGAGACTGTTCATGTGTGTGTGTTTATATGTATGTGTTCGTGTGTTCGTGTGTGTGTGTTCATGTGTGTAAACAAAACAGATCCACTTGTTAACAGAGAATAAAACCAAGCGTTGCTCTATAGCACCACCTGGTGGACTCTGTGAGAGTCATAAAAACAACAACAATGAGTTGAAGTGATTTTATTTACAGCTGTAATCTTGTAGATCAGGTCTAGATCTGTAGATCAGGTCCAGATCTGTAGATCTGGTCGAGATCTGTAGATCTGGTCTCTGAACCGTCACCACGTCTAAAAAGGACCTTTTGCACATCTGTTATAAAATGTGATTTCTACAAATGTACACGATGTCCCCGGATTCTGTAAAATCATTATTTTTGTACAACTGCAGCCGTTAGTTCAGCTGCTGAATCGCTCATGAGTTTTCATGAAGTCCTCCTGGTTGATCTTCATGAGACCTCGTGAGTTCAGAGGTCCTCCTTCAACCACCGTCGGTCTTTAGATCAACGTGAAAACAAATAGAAACGTCTTCTATCCAGAATCTCACAGAAACATCTGTTTCACATGAACGGAAAATAAATCAGAACTTCTTCAGAATGTGCAGATGTGAACACAGATGTTTGTTCGTGTATCTAGAAGTAAAAAACAAACAAATATGAAGATACACATTCACAAATCGATGTGCCTTTTGTTTTGCATTTTCAATCTTAAAGTCCTGATTTACTTTCCGTGCTTTTATTAAACACATTTAAACAGAATGCTGTGAAACAGAAGACCGCTGAGCTGAGCTGCTTTCTTCTTTTACAGAACTTCTGCGACAGGCCCAACATGTAACCACCGAGTTATTGATCGTTGATCAGCTCCAATAAAACCCTTTGTTCTTTGTTTCTTTGTTCTTTGTTTCTCTGATGCTTCGACTCATTAAACACTGAATCCATTCTGGTGTTCAAGTCGCTCCGGTTTAAAACTGCGAGACAACAAAGTGACAACTATAAAACACCGACAGACAGACACGAGAATAAATAAAACTTATTTTGTATAAATAGAGTTCAAGTTAAAATATTGCTAGTATGAGACTTCATATGCTTTATAAATGTTGCATTTACAGTTTTCACAGATATGTTTATGAACCGCGTGAGTCGTGTTTCCGTCAACTTCACCTTCTTATGATCACTAAAACATTCACAGTCTAGCGACAGGTTTCCTGAGCTCGTCTTAAAGCGATGACTTGGGGGGGTGAGAGTTCAGGTGTGTGTGTGTGTGTGTGTGTGTGTGTGTCACAGGTAAGGCTCTCCAAACGTCCGGCGGCACTCCATGACCCCGGTGCTGGGAGGACGGTCACAGTTGTGGGTCAGCTTCACCAGGCTCGGCATCAGGCGGTCGTACGCCAACTTGTACTCGCGATCGAAGGCGTCTGAGGGGAGAAGAGAAGAGACGTGAACATTAATACATATCGAACACATTCATATTATTTATATTCTTTAAAGCTTTAAAGTCATTAAGAGACCAAATGATGCTCGCTGTCAATCAACAGTTCTCCTCGGCTTTAGTGTCTTTCAGCTCATTGCTTTGGTATTATTCATACCAAATAATATATATATATATATATATATATATATATATATATATATATATATATTTAGCAGCTAACGAAACATAAAAAAGGTACGTGAATATTCAGAAACACCAAATAAAACATGTTGCTCTGTAACTGCTGGATGTTTGTTTATTCTAATAAAACATTGCAAAAACACGCATTTTTAAAACTAATTCTTGAAGTTGTTTTGATTTAGATCAACAGTAAACAACAAATCAAACCACTGGCACACCGATGATCATAACAACATAAAACGATGACTCGCCAATATCAATGTTGTCTTTTCCCAGAGCCACCAGAGAGAGGAAGAGCACGTCTCTGTACAAGCTCCTGAGAGAAGGAGAGAAAGTCATTTATGATTCTACTGTTTCAATTCATAGTTCTCAGTCATGTGACCGGCATGGAGACTTGCAGGCATAGCGGGGGGGGGGTTGTTTAAGTGAATCAATAATCGTGATGAGCCGGTTCTGACCGTTGCCTTTTGACCCCGAGTGTCTGACTCAGCAGCTGCAGCAGCTGAGTCATCGGCCGGCTGACGTCGTTCCTCTGGATGCTCTTCACGACGCTCTGAAGAAACTCCTCACTGAACGGCTTCTCCTCCTCCGGGACCGGTCGGGACAGAGGGTACCCCACATCTACAGACACACACACACACACACACACACACACACACACAATAACACACACAGACACACACACACACA